TAGTGACCGGACTTACAGGCAGACAGACCGATACTAGGAAATTCAGTAACAGGTAATTATGTCTTTTGTCTTGTGAGATGAGTCAGTCAAGATGTCCACCCTAAAATGATGACAGACAAAATAGTAAAGAACAAGATGGGGTGTTAACGAAACAGTGTCTAATTAAGCCATCAGGGCGAGCCATGTCTTGGGAGATCCAGTTCAGCCACTTCTGAATCACACCAGGACACAAAATCCAGGAGTGGAGTAGTTTCCTCAGATCATTTTCTCTGTGCACAAAGGTTAAAATCACTGGATGGAGGAAAATCAAAGAGCATCCATTTAGACGTGAGGTGAGGATCACCACGAGCATTTCACATCCTGAGCTGAGGTTCTTCACAGTGGTCTTCACTTCTAAAAAAGCTGGTCCTTTTTTTTTTTTTTCGAACTGAAACAATACAGCTTCAGGACCCTTAGAGACATTAAGACACTCATCTCAATGGTAAAACAGATAGAGTAGACAGTTACAGACCTCCGTTTGGAGCTGCTAGCATAACTGCTGCATACCTCCTAGAGCACCTTAGACTTTCAGGGACTTAATTACCTGATCGTAGAATCATAGAACAGTTTGGATTGGAAAGGACCTTTAAAGGTTGTCTCATCTGATCAGCATTTGCAAGGCCACTGATGGGCTGACAGCAGTGCAAGACCTTCCCAAGCTGTGTGGGAGCTGGAGTAGCATTTTCTGTCCAGGCAGAAGGATAGGCTCAGGCCAGTATTCTTCTTTTCACTTGTGGTGTTACGTTCCCTGGAATTAGGGGTACAGCTTCAGTATCGACCGGAAGCTGAGCCGCGCTTCACCAGGTGAGAGCTGAGGAGCTGCTGAGCTCCACGTTGCCTGTGAAGCCACCTTACTCTGTGCACATTTCTCCCATAGTTTCCCAAATGTTTCAGTAAGGCAGGTTTCACTGCATATGGCATTTGCCTCTAAAAATAGTCTTTGTGCAATTCACATGGAAGGGGAAAGCAATTACACCTCTACTATGGGAAAAACATTCACTCCCTTTCCACAGGCTGACTTCAGAACCTCTTCAATGATAATTACCACCATTTTTCTGCTGAGGTTGCTGACATAGAGGTGAAGTGACCTCCCTGAGCCGCTCCAGACATGGATCCAAACCAGTGTTTAAGGTCAGGACAGCCCCACCTTCTGATCTCCAGACAGGGTTTAGGTCGTCTCCCTTCCAGCTATGGAAAGTGATTTTTTTTAGTCACTCGATGTTGCAAGTTGAGGCTGGAAATTTGACACCTAAATATTCCAGAAACCTCACTGATTGCTTAAATAAAAGCAATGTCTCAACACAGAGCCATGGCCTGTAACAGTCTTGGCCTCAACACTATTCCACAAGTGCTACGTGCCTTGCTGCTCCCAGGTGCTCTAATTGATGGCCACAACAAAGGTTACTAAAGCTCTGACCTGAAGGTGCGTATTCACTTGTGAATGTTGCACAAATATTCAAATGCAACGTTTGATCTAACGAAATGCACTGTCTCTTTCCAAACCCAGCTGCTCTGTCCAATTCAGGCCAACAGGTGCAATGATAAAAAACACTTTTTTAAGAGCCTGAGCTTTTCCCCTCTATCTTCCTGTGTTGAAGGGCCAAACTCCAGGAGCGTATCTCAGCAGAAGGGCTATTTTGATAACTGCAAAGCATGATGCTACCTAGAAAGCAGACAGGCAGGTTCTCCGCTGCTGGAAAGTGTCCTAGTTCCTGCCTTCAGCAGAGCTGCCACTGCAATTTGCACCAGCAGAGCAGTGGGTGAGACCTGAGTCAGGGTTAGGGCTTGGGCTGGGATATTCCCCTCGCTAACAAAGGCAGGCGACTAAAGCTAAGCATCTTCCAGAGCCAGGCAGGGCCCCACCTGCCATGAGGTAAGAAAAGAAGTTGCCAGGATGAAGTCACGCTATAGGAGAAGAAGATGTGGTCTAAAATTCAGGTGTTCCGTCCTTCAGTTGCTAAACAATTATTAACAGAGGAAGTTACACCACAGCTAGAAAGAGCTTCTTATGTTTGCGGCCCAGGAATACCAACCGGTGACGGGTACCAGCTCAGCCTGTTGCAACGATTACATCTGGAGTGCGTGCTCCGATAAGAGCTCTGGTAAAATGGACAAAGATAGTCCCAAGACAACCAAATACGATGAAATTCACCTGTGTGTGGGACATGTCATCTCCGCTGCTGAAGATAATCCTGCCATCAGAAACGAGGACTGTTTGACCTGTATCCTGATAGCTCCCTGAGATTTCAGGGATAATAATCAGTGAGCTATTTTCACTCAACAAACTTTTTTACACGGAATAATCCTTACATGCATTATATACACTTACACGAAACTGTATATGCTACAAGCTCCCTTTATATCACATGTAGATTGAAACGCCTTTTCAAATGCCATTGGGACCAGCGTCCCAATTCCATTTGGATGTTACAAATCTTGCATGCTATTAAAAAGTTCCTTTAATTTTCCCATGATACTTGGAGATAAACTCAGCTCCCTCTTCTGCCATGTTTAGGTAATAGGTGGGAGCTGCATCCTCTGTACCATAGAAAATAACACGCATTCAAAATCATCTGTTCTGAAATGAAACAAGAATGAAATCTATGAAGATCTTCATGAGAAAAAAAAAAAAAACCATCCATCACATTTATGGAATCACAAGAAAGTCACTTTAGAGAATTCATTGATGAAAAGCAGGTAAGAGAAGTACAGATTAGCCCCCCCCATCTTGAACTACAAATACCTCCTAAGAAGTGGGGACATTAGCTGACATGAAATGGCTCATGCATGGGTTGAAGTGGACACACGCTGGTTGATACCACACCAAGACCCCTGGTCTAGGTGGGGTCTGCAGTGAATGTATTAACCTGAGGGTATGACCTTTATTCTCACAGAAAGTTGTTTTGTTAAATCAGATTAGTCAGGGGATTAAAACGTGTTCTGCACCAAAAGCCTCTCTTTACAATGCCTACGTGTGAAACACGTCTGTGGAGGAAATGCACAACGGCAGTTGTGAAAGAATGAGCTCATTACCCAGGAGGACTCATTCCCAGAAGGCAGGGCTTTGAAACCATATAAAAGTTCTCAAATCTCTGTGCTCCACCATCCACTCCACTTCGTACTTCTCCCCGTTGACTGGTTGGGTAAGTTGGAGAATACTGATACTCTTTTGACGTCTATAATTTTACTGCTTGGCTTAATGTAGGCAGACTCTTTAAAGAAGTGTTTTATTTGATACTTTTGAATATGCAAAAGATTCCTGCAAAGAAGAGAAATTGTGGGCATTGGGGTAGGACAAGCAGTCTTGGAATAACTCTGCAAGGCAAATTCAGGTTGTGTGTAAATCCGAGGACAGGTAAGTGCTAAATTAGATCCTTTCTGAAGAAGAGATTAGATTAAATTATGTTGGTTTAAGTATAACTGATCCTGCCTTCAGGGAAGAAGGTCTAAATGGCCTCCTAAAGCTCCTTCCAAATCTATTTTCTGTGATTCTGCTATTTATAACAAGAATAGTTTTAAAATGTCAATTTCATTGAAGAAATATTTTGTAAAAGATAGATTTGGGAATATGAGGGGCTGTACAGAGCAGAAGGGTGAAAGTATTCCTAGTGTGCTGTATCATTCATGCCAACCATGTCAAGAACAAGATATTAATTTGACTTAAGATCTTATCAAGTCCTTATAAAGAAAATAGCAAGAGATAAGTGTTATTGATCTGGAGGATCTAGGAGGAAGCGCAGAATGAATTTGCTTTGAGCATGTGCTGAGAGGGGGAGGCAACATGGGGAAGAGAGAACAAAGTTGCACACTCTCACCTGATGTGTGTTGGTGCTAGTGCTGCATTGAGGGGACTTAAAATGCCTCTTCCAACCAACATTTCTGTGATTCCAACCTTTTATTTGTGCCCTTAGATTGTCCTTAGAAAAACAGCAACACAGGATTTACCAAAGACACAGCACCGGTCCAGCTGAGCCTGGTCCCTGCCTTCAGCAGCCCACAAAAGAGGGAATTTCATAAATTGTTAGGAAAACTCATTTGGCCTGTTGCCTTGGGAGAAGAAATCTCTCCTGATTATTCTGATTCATGCCAGCTACATGTGTTATTAGTGGCCATGATAATCTAGAAACACAGGGACGCATTGCCACTGCTAATTCTTTCCATGACAGTTGGAAGGACTGTGCCACAGGTAACCTCAGCCCATTACATCAATGAAGTCAGAGTGAAAGCAGAGCAAGAGGAGGAGTTGGCCTATTGTTACTGTAAAGACTCTTAATAATACAGAAAGATATCAGCTGACTGGTGAGGTCTACCTTGAGGCCTTAGCACCACAGGTTTTTAAGTCCAAGTAAAATCTGGAAACCATTTTAAAATGGGCAAAATCAAATAAATTATTTTGATTTTGTCAACATAAAATACCCTGTTGGGCCCAGATTTATATTTTTCTACTTTTTGATACACCAAATTTTTTTAAATGTTTGTCTTCAGCATTTTTTATTATTATTATTATTTTCACTTTCTGAAACCGCTGTCAAACCAGCAGATCTGTTATTTGCCAGCTCCTCTCACCAATTCCCCAGCACAGAAATGAAAGGGAGTTTACGTGTCAGGAAGAGCTAAGCAACAGGAGGAAGAGCTCTGAAGTGTAAATCAGCTCCAGGTTCAAAGGAGTGGCTCTACCTCAGTCAGACCTGACAGGGCTGTCCCATATTGCAGAACAGAAAGGAGGAACACGATAAGGCAGAGTCAGAGCAGGAGCTGAAAGGCAGGATGAAAAAGAAAGAGCAAATCACAATTCTCTCTGAGCCAACCTGCCTTGGGCAACCAAGGGCAAACTAAGAGAACTTTACTCTTGCAGCTGATTCATGTTTCTTATAATTGCTTCACCCTTATCGCAACGCAGTTCATTTAGCAGATGCAATAACACTGACATTTCTTTTCAGATAATCTTCTTTCCTGCAAAGATGTCTTTGAATCAAATGCAAATCAAGCAGGAAATCACCCTCCCACCTGGCCTGAATAAAACAATCTCAAAGCAAAACCAAGAGCCTGTGCCGTACACTGAGCCGGTCCCATGTCCACAGCAGCAACCTGAAGTCCAAGTCCCAACACCTTGCCCAGAACCAGTCCCAGTAGTGGTGGTACCAGAAAAAACGATGCCATTGCCAACACCGGTGGTTGAACCAGGCAAGGGAGAAATACCCAAGTGTCCACCCCAGGAGCAGCAGCAGCAACAGCAAAGCAAGCTACCACCAACTTTCCCACCTGTATCACACCCTGAGCCTGTTCCGTACCCTGAAGAGAAATCAGCATGTATAGAGCTGCCTGTGCCAATCCCTGTTCCATGCCCTGAACCAACTCCATCTGTGGTGGAGAAGCAGGAGTGCAAGGAGATCCCTGTGCATGTTCCCGGTATCTGCTCGGAGGCTGCACCATGTCCCCAGGAGAAGCAGCAATGCAAGGAGATCCCCGTGCCAATCCCTGTTCCATGCCCTGAACCTGCACCATGTCCCCAGGAGAAGCAGGAGTGCAAGGAGATCCCTGTGCCCACCCCATGCCCTCCAGAGAAGCAGGAGTGCAAGGAGACCCCTGCGCCAATCCCTGTTCCATGCCCTGAACCCACACCATGTGCCCAAGAAAAGCAGCAGTGCAAGGAGACCCCTGTGCCAATCCCTGTTCCATGTCCTGAACCTGCACCGTGTCCCCAGGAGAAGCAGGAGTGCAAGGAGATCCCTGCGCCAATCCCTGTTCCATGCCCTGAACCTGCGCCGTGTCCCCAGGAGATGCAGGAGTGCAAGGAGATCCCGGTGCCTGCTCCATGCCCTCCAGAGGAGCAGGAGTGCAAGGAGATCCCCATCTCAATCCCTGCTCCCTACCCTGAGCCAGGGAAGTGCTCCCTTCCAGAGAAATGTCCTCCCATTGAGCAGCAGCAGGTGAAGCAGCCCAACCAGTGGCCACCTGTGCAGAAGTAACTTGCAGCTGACAAGGGAAGCCTTGAAGAGCCAAGATTGCAAACCCAGACCTCCTCTCCCTACATCTTGCAATCAGAGGTCATTTTCCAACACCCTTTTATTCACTGCAAAATTTCTGTTAAGAAGCACAGCTCCCAGCTCCCCCCGCAGCTAACGCTAGCGTTATCCTATACTAACAGCCATATGCTAACTGACACATCGGGACACTCGATAGACAACAGGGCTTCAAGTGGTGTTGTAGGCACGTGCGTCCAGCTTTCCAGCCGTCTGAATTTCTGCCCTCTCCCAGTCATCCTGCTGGCTTTTAAAAGCCCAGAGAGAGATCAAAGAGCATGATGGCACGCTCAAGTCATAGACTCATAGAATGGTTCAGGTTGGAAGGGACCTTGAAGACCATCTTGTTCCACCCCGTGCCCTGGGCAGGGACAACTCCCACCAGCCCAGGTTGCTCCAAGCCCCATCCAACCTGTCCTTGAACCCCTCCAGGGATGGGGCAGCCACAGCTTCTCTGGGCAACCTGGTCTCACCCCCTTCACAGTCAAGAATTTCTTCCCCATATCTCATCTCAATCGCGCCTTTTCCCATTTGAAGCCATTCCCCCTCGCCCTGTCACTCCATGCCTTTGTAAAAAGCCCCTCCCCAGCTCTCCTGTAGCCCCTTTAGGGACTAGAAGGGGCTCTAAGGTCTCCCCGGAGGCTTCTCTTCTCCAGGCTGGACATCCCCAACTCTCTCATCCTGTCCTCCCAGCAGAGGGGCTCCAGTCAGGGTTTATTTAGCTAAATATGCAAATTTAACCCAACGCAATCAGGGACCTACAGCTCATTGTCTAGACTCACATGCTTCCTTCTGGTTTTCATGCCTTCCTGCCCAGCTCCCTGCACTCAAATGCCATCTCCCACCTTGCGTTTAGGGGATTTGAGGTTTGTGCAGAACCTACTGCTAAGGGGTTCTAGTCAATGGCAGCAAGACCTTCTGAATCATGAATCCATAGTGCTGAATATATTATGCAATTAAAAAAAATTATTGGGCCAGAGGAAATAAAAATTTTTTTACAAAAGAGCCATCACCTCTTAATTATCTGCTTACCTGAATTGGTAGTAATCAGAGAGCTCCCCTTGGATTTTCTAGGATGTGTAAAAGAACAGCTCGATCTGAGATTATTTATGGCAAATATAGAGATAATCAAATCCAATCCAGACATATTTTGAAATAGATTAACCTCAGGCGTGGCTTCCATCTGTTAGACAGGATAAAGGAGGAAGCATACCCCATGCTGTCTCAATTACACCCTGGAACATGTTTCACCACACAGTGTTGTTGCGTATGTGTTTGGTACTTATCTCTAATTGTTTTAGGCTGATATTGTATCCAGGATTTATTTCACTGTGAAAATCAACAATAAAAATTACTTTGAATACCAAGTTGTGGAGATTCTCTGCTTAAAAAGATGAGAAGGAACCTCAGCGCGCAGCAGTTAGTTATTTTTTAGCCTCAAAGCTGGGAAAATTGGGACTCGGAAACTCAGGTGTTCGCAGGGGACCTTGGATCTGTTGCTTATCTCCAGAGAACCTGCAAGAGCCCCTGCACTGTGTCTGTCCATGCGCCAGCTGATGGCGCTGAAACACTAATTGCACTGAAACACCACAAGACACCCCATCCCAGAGCATGGCACGCACCGAGCTGTCCCCGTGGTCAATCTGCCCAATTTAAACGTATCCCCAGCCACTCCGTGACCTGTGGCAGATGTAAGGCACAGGCAGGTCTACAGGACAGGTTGCAAGCACAAACGAATGAGTTTTTCCCAGACTTCAGACAAGCCAGGAGCGATGTAATCTTGCTGGCTTGGCCTCATACCTGTCAGATATGTCCAACCTCATTGTCTGATGACAGAATCACACTGAGCCACATAGCTTCTGGTTTGCATCTGTCTGCTAGACACCAATATTGTACCACTCAACAGTTTCTGTATTTCTAATTTTCCTCCCCTCCTCTGCCACACAACTGACTGGAAATCAATTAGCCAAGCCAGTATGTCCTACTAATAAACAAAAACATTCCAAATCTTGTTTCTTTTAAAACCAAAACATTCATTCTGAGAAAGCAAAAACTTCTTTTTAGAGTTAAAAACTTCACTTCTCAGCCATTATTATATAGTTGACATTCTAAAACCACAAGAATATACTTCATAATATTACAGCTTGCAGAAAACCAAGTTTTCCCAGTTTCCTCCAGTTCAGGATGAAAACAACTGATAAGATTGCCCCGAGACAGGAAGATCATTAATCCTGGGCCAGTTTCAAAGCCTAGGCAGCAGCTTTGCCCCAAAAGACGCTGAATTTAAAGCATCTTTCTAGAAATTGTGGTCATTTTGTGTCCTGTTCACTCTAGACATTTCCCATTTCTGGCATACTTGGTCATCATAATAGCTGTAGGTTTCTGGAACTACCTGAAATAAAAATATGAACAAATAATTCCTTGGGAAACCTGGAAGGCAAACATGCATGGGTCTCTGCATATGTGTGCCTTATCTACAAGTGTATGTTTAAAGGTAATTCTTTGGCTAATAAAAGAACGCAAAAGAGAACAAATGATGCTAGTAAATTAAAAAAAAATAAAAAATCAGGAAGCAGCTCATGAGGTTACTCATAATTTTATTGTAGCATGTCCCAGATTAAAGCTCAGAAGAAAATGGCCCCCTTTTTTTTTTTTTATTTATAGTAGAGGATGAATAAATCCAAGTTAATGAATTGCATCTGTTTGTAAAGTAATTTCTGCTTGCAAACAAAGGAGGTGTGCTGCAAGTTTCTAGCTATTCTGGCAGAGCCAGTAGACAGGAGGAGAGCTTGGAAATGAGCATCTGCATCTTTCACGGCACTTTGTAGCTGTTGCTGTTAGTGCTACTTCTGCTTTGGGCATTGCTGCTGCTGCTGTGGGATGCTCTTCACAGGACACTTGGCTTGCCCTTTGGGGGCCTGGGCTTGCTCCACACACTTCGGAGGACACTTTTCCTGGCATTTCGAAGGTATTTGCTGCTGCTGCTTCTGCTGGTGGGAAGACATCTTTGCTAAGCCTGGAAGAAAACCAAGGTGCCATTTCAGTTGTTTTAATCCCTCCACACTTTGCCTTTCTGGATATTGTAGTTTCACTCCGTTTTTCAGCTTTGACAATCAAACCAACAGTGAAAAGCCTTTAAAAGTTAATCCTACCAGCAAAACACACACAAAAAACCCACCCTTGGAAATCCCTGAGGACGCTGCTGTTCAGACCAAATTTGTGTTGGTAGCTCTAGTTTGCTGTAGCTGCCCCATACTGCTCTTCTGGGCTTCCATCACTGTTGGCCTCTGTGGAGATCAGCCACTCTCCTGCAGCCTCAGGGCATAACTGTATATACGCATAAATGAGCTTAAGAGGCAAGCACCATCCTCACAAAGTTGTGATCCAAACAGGTAAATGGTTACAGAAGGGGGGGGGGGAGGAGGGGAGAAACAGTGAGAGGAGTTTTCCTTCTTTCCCTTTGTTCACTATTTTCTGGACACTTAAAGCTGAAGCGAAGCAGCAATATGAGTTTAATGAAAGCACACTTAGTTCAAGGAGAACCTCAGAGCAATATTTAAAACTAGTCAAAGAGGAGCAGAAAGCCAAGGATATTTCAGTATTGCAAGTGGTTTTGAAAGAGAAAGTTGTTTGATAACAATCCCTTCTTGCAACAGCCACATCTCTGCTTAGTTCATCGAGACCCTCAGAGCAGGAGCTGTGTCTCTGGCTGTCAAATGCACGTGAAGTGTCCTCCTGCTCAGCGATGAGCTGATTTTATACAAAGTAGTGAAATTCAGAGCCCTGGAGATCCAGGAGACTGCAGTCATCAACCCATGGCTGCTCGACAGATGCCAAACAAGCTGCCAGTGGATGACATACTTTGATAGCTGATACTCAATACCTGATGGTTATCCACAAGGATTCTTATTAGTTGGAAAAAATATTACGAGGGTTGACAAGGGTTTGTGGGTCTAAAGAGTCAGCAAGCCACTGTCTGGAGCCTCAGAAAGTCTCAAAATATCATAAAATGGCTTTCACCTGTACAGAAGTGAAATTGCCAGGGAGACGAGTCAATACCGCTACTGGAGAGACAAAATAAAGAAAAAAAATCACCCTGTCTCCCAAGAAGCGAGCACCAGAAACCCCCACCTATAGAGCTAAAAGCATATCAAGGCACTCACCTGCTGTTAGAGGAAGAGAAGAAGCCACTCAGGTTAAAGAGCCTCTCCAATGGGAGGCTTTTATATGCTTTTAGAAGTCAGCCCCAGGAGCTGATGACAACAGATTAACTTGATGACCAGAATCTTTCACAACCAGAACCTGCTCCACTGACACCTCCATACACCTGGACTTCAGTCAAGGTCTGTGAGAGATACCTCCTCTTTCAGGTGCGGGGGATTTGTTGATTTTAATGCAAGGCACACCCAATCTGGTAATAACTGGCTAATTTATTAATAATTCATCTTGTGCCGACCCTGGGCAAAGATCCCACAACTGAACCCAGATTTGAGAGATGGTTCAGATCCATTCTGGAGTAAGCAGAACACATTTGCATAAAATTTAGGTGTTTCCTGATAGTTTTGTCGGTGATTACCAGGACAGATTTCCAGCTAGCATAAATCAGAGTGGGGTGGGGAGGTCTGGGTGCTGCAGCCCAGCTCCTGGGAAGGGCAGCAGGTCTGGTTTTGGCAGTCTGTGCTTTTGGGTTTTGCTTCCATCCTTCTCTGTTTTCCTTCCCCAAAGAGGGAATGAAACACTTTATATTGCCAGGAAATTAGAAAGTTTTCCCCTTATTTTTTCTTGCACTTCCATGTAGCTTTTTCCTGAAGCAACCAAACTTCTTTTTTTTTTTTTTTTTTTACAAACACTGGGTTTGGCTTGCTGAAGTTATGGCAGAAATTATTTTTTCTAGGGGTGGATCCATGTTTTGGAAAAATGTCGATCCCCTTGAAATTTTTCCAAGGAAGGAGCAGAGAAAAAGTTTCAACTGAAACATTGTCTTTAGCTTTAATGGAGAAGGTAACTCAATCCTCCCCTGAGTATTCCTCAGTGCTGTGCCCTGTGGGGTCATATTCAGCCCTGCAAATTACAGTCCAGTCTCCATTACAGATGTGTGACACATGGAGAGGTGATGGACATGGCTTCAACTGAGTGTCAGACGGCAGAAGGTGCTAATGGAAAAAACATCATCCCAAATCTTAACATCCCTCACTCATGCCTGATTTACCAAGGGTCTTAATGACCCCGAGGTTGACATAGACCACAGGTCACCAATTCGGTGTGAATATTCAGGAGAATCTTAGCAATGCTCAGAATTCACCACAGGCGCATAGGAGAGCAGTGTGTCAGGGCTTTTGCAACACATTTTTCCTACGGGCGCAGGAAGCATGATGAGCACAAACCAACAGGTCCCTTCCACCACTTCCCCCGGGGTTTCCGAGCTGCATGCCCTCATTGATGATTACTGCACCTGCTGCAATGCTCGCAGCAGAGAGGGAGAGAAGAAAAAATTCTAAATTACTAACACAGCTGATAGAGCTGGATGAAGATGCTTGGAAATCCGTCATAGGTGACTAACGTATGAGATGGACCTCATTAGTAGCTGCACATGACCTCCTGACGAAGACTTTTTCCATGCCTGGAAGTGGGCACTGACGCTACACGTGTGGCAGCGGCAAGCAGTTATTAGCGAGGCAGCGTTCATTGCTGAATCCCCAAAGTCTGGCATTCAACAGTAGGAATTAGAGGTTCCTCAGCTTCCCATCCATCTTCATGCTGTTGAATGTCTGGCCCACCTACCCCTGTTTTGTCTACCTGAACTGGAAGGTGTGTTCAGGTATAGAATTTGTTTGCTTTACCGAGACACGTTTTACCTATCATTATCCCTGTTTGATGGTGTCACCTTTTGGTGTTGACAGAAATAACACAAAAAGGAATCTGTTAAACTCTCTACACCTGCACACAAGGTTTCATTAAAAGCTGATTTGGTAACACTGTTTACACACACCTAAATATAACTCTTTTCCTTTCTAGATTAGATGTTCTCCACCCTTGCCGTAATGATACGGTAGGTGAAGAGCAATTCTCTACATCCCAGACATGGAAATTGTGTGGCCATCATGGAGACAGAGGTAAGCAAGTCACATGCGCAGTATGGAAGACAATGGGAGCATTATCTCTGAAACAGCATTTAAATGGGTATAACATCCCGCCAGACAATGGGCCTCCTGCAGTTTCAAAATTGTGACTCCAAATAAAGAAGATGATGCATTCATAAGTGAATTAAAATATTATCATACCTGCCAGTCGTTAATGAACCCATGATGCCAACCACTCTATCAGCTGGAGATGTGACTTCTCTTCCTTGCAGATGGGGAATGGACAGATAACAAGAGTGAGACCTGCCCGAAGCCACACGAAGTATCTGCAGCAAACCTGGGAACAGAACTGCAATCTTGCAGGGCTTTGACCTGTTTCTGAACCACAAGAAGATCCATTTCCTGAAGCCAAATCCCCTATTTTCTGTATTTAGTCAGTGAGGATCATGGGAAGAATGCATCAAAAATACCATTTTTGTCTCCATCAGAATGTTTTTAAGAAAGAGTTAAAATCCCAGCAAGAATGTTTCAATTCCTTCTTTCTTGGATTTGGGGCTTTCTTCCACCTAAATTTACCTCTTAACAGTTTCTAAGATTTGCATCCAAAATCCAGAGCTATAAAGATGAAAATTCTATCACTAATAAAGGTGAAAATTAAAGTTTTATTATTCTTTTCAAGTAGGACAATGCTATTTTTTTAATATCTGTCAGGAAAGTATTGACGGGATAATGTTTTGTTTATGATATTAGAAGACATTGCTCCACGTTACAGCGCATGCTCTCTGTTTACAGCACTGCACTGCAGGCACAAATCCTCCACAACTACAACAGCTTTTAGAAGGAAAACTAAGGGAAGGTGTTCTTGGGTCCAAAGACATGGAAACAGGGAGATGAAAGAAAGACAAGAAGACGCATTATGCCATCAATGGTCAATTTTTATTGCTGCACATAGACATTAAAAGACAAGAGGACATACACTAAAAGACAAGATGAGAATTAAAGACTAGAAGGGGAGACATCTTCCAACACCAACTGCTACCAGCACAGCCATTGCTAAATAACTTCCCAAGATGCCTAGCAGTATCATATTGGCCAACTGCAGTTACCAAGACAAAGATGCGGAGATAGCAATAGCAGAAGTATCATAGGAAGCAAAGATACAGGCTGGAAACATTCAGAAAAATATTTTCCAAGACAAAAAGAGTGTGGGGTAACCAGGTCAGGAGAGGTCTTGTTACATCGCAGATGGGTCTGTAACCTGTTTTTCATTCCGTGGATGAGCCTGCGGATATCGCAATGCACCGAAGGATCAGGGCTGGATGCGAGGCTCATGTGTTAAGGCCATCAGCATGGGTGGGAGCAGACAGTGCTGCATGGCTCCAGGCACACGGTCTCGCAGGAATCAACGCACTTGGTGGCACACACCTCCACGCACTGCGGCGGGCAGGGCTCGCACTTGGTGCAGCACTGGGTGACGCAGGGCTCCACGCACTGGGTTGGGCACTGGGTGGCACATGGCTTTATGCAGACATCGATGCACTTAGGGGGGCAGACCTCTACGCATTGGGTGGCACAAGGCTCCACGCACTGGGTGCTGCAGGGCTCCACGCACTGGGTGCTGCAGGTGGTGGTGCACTGGGTGGCACAGGGCGTTGGGCAGACTTCCACGCATGGTGTGGAGCACGGCTTCACGCAGACGCTACTGCAGGGCTCCACGCACACCGTCTTGCAGGGCTCCACGCACTTGGTGCATTTCTGCACACAAATGGGAGGGGGCAGGCAGGGCTGTTTGCACTGCTCGTAGTAAGACATCCTTCTGAGGTGCTGGTACAGCTAAAGAGGAAGATAAAAAGAGAGGAACACAATCAGGACACTCGTCCTTTCTTCTTAAGCCCCAATCAACAACCTGAGCTCTTGAAACATGTACAGCACTTAGTGGTTGGACTGAGCAAAGGGCTGTTAGAAAAAATTGCACGTGTGAATGATTTCTGCCTTCAGACATACACAACTAACACTGCCAGATTTTTCCTTCCGTTCTTGGGAACCTGCAAGCATCACTGTTAGGAAGACTAGAGCCATAAACTCTGAATTTTATAGAATTGCCCACAGTTAAACTTTGTAGAAGTTGTTACATGAAAATAGTTAATTTCCTTATTTTTGTAATTAAATGATCAAACATTCTAGGGCCCATCTTTTGCTTATCACTTCTTCAGTTCCTCACACACACCACAGAGCACATCCCCCTTCGTGTAGACACTGAACTGCTAATCCCTGAGGATAAAGCCCAAAGACCACAAATTCAGACACTATCCCAAATCCTCCAGCTCTGTATCATGGTACATCACTGGAGTTGTATCAAAATTAATAAGCTCATCCTTTCATAAAAGACGGGTTGGCCCAGAGGTTGCAGCTCCTAGTTCCAATTCATTTCTTCATCTTGACTTCTCCCAGATATCTCCTGCAGCTTTGCCCTCAGGTGTTCTGCAGCTTCCTTCTTCCAGATAATGCTTCTTCCCACCCATCTCTTTTGAAGTCCCAAGACTTACTCTGCAGCATCCACTAATTTATTTAATTTCCAGACTTAATGAGGTATGAAAAAATTAATGAAGATAGAACACGAAGAAGACCGAGAGACAGTCACAGTTTCTGAAGAGGTGACAAGACATTTGCAAGCTACTTAAGGAAGAGCAAACTCTAACCAAGAGTCAAACATTCTCTCCCCCATTCCAGGATGAACCCTGGAACAGAAACACCAGAAGCAAAGCTCTCCTGTGATTAGTAATATATACCTTTGACCAGAACAACCAAGTAACACAGCCATTGCATTATTCCCTGATAAATCCAAGAAAGACTTACCAGTTCACCAATGCAGGTGAGTGAGGGAGCAGTCAAATGAACTGGTGCAAGCATCAAAATGCAAACCTTTTTATATGGCTTGCATGGCGTCATCTCCGGAAACAAGGGAGCCCAGGGGTACGGACACCTGACCACTAACTACCTGAACAGGCTCCACCTATACATGCTTTACATATTTGTTTACATCCTAATTTTTGATGGAAACCCTCTTCCAGGAAAAACATGTGATCCTGAGCAAATTCTGCTTCCACCTAATATGCGAGTCATGTGGTTCCCAATGAGAATGACACAGTAATTAAAAAAACACAGGTACTGGATTAATTGCTTTTCAAAAAAAGATTAAATGCACTTGGATATTTTCATCTCCTTATTTCCATAATGTCTGAATGATACCTTAGGGTTTTTTTTCAATGCAGTAAGAATAGATGGCTATTATTAGGGAAAATGGACAATTGATCTGATTTACTATGAGAAATAGCACATCCTAATTCTCATGGTAAGAAACAGCTAATCCTGCAGTGGGCCACCAGCACTTCTACAAACTGTTGAGGTATCTTTTTCTCTAATACGTTTTTAACTATTAAATACACCCAACCCATTCCTCTCCACCTTCTGTTAACAACACTGATGCTTGGCAATGCCAATGGGGACACAACTCCGGTTACCTTGAGGACCTCTTCAAGACATTTGGGGCAAAGTAAAGGCCTACACATTTTGAAGGCATTTTTTCACTGCCAGAGCAGTGTAAAGGGCTTTAGTTTATGCAGAATTTAGGCCCAGGGCTCCATATTAGCATATTGAAGCCTTTTCCTGATGGTGATATCTCACTCAGCTCTGCAGCACAGAAAATCTTTATTTCTCCGAGATACTCCAATCACGAAGGTGGAATGTGATGATCAGACTACACTTAGGTGACCAAATTCCCCAATGAGATCACTTACACAAATGCTAAATGGGCAAAAAGCAAACCCCAACCTGTTCAGCATGAGCAGTGCATCCTGTTTACGCTGGAAACCAGGATTCCCACTGGAGAATTGCAGGCATCGCCACTGGTTCCTTTCTACTGTTTATATGAGGAAACTGGAATTCCTGTCCTAAGCCCATGTGAGCTGGCGGATTTGCATTGACATCCTCCCAGCAGCACCTCGTGGTTCGTTCAGTCTTTCCATTCCTCTTGCTTTGCTGGATGGACTCGACGAAACATGTGTGGTTTCTCCCACCGAGATTTATACCCTGCCCTGGCAACTTTTATAGATGATAGGAAGAAATAAGGACTTGTACAGTGTTTGCTTGTGTTAGACAACTGCTTTGGGGTGAGGAGAAACACCCACGACTGCATCAAATACACCCTGCAGACTGTAAAACGAACAGAGAGCAACTAGCTCAGCTTGAGGTGTCCAATATTTTGACAGATTAATCTCTCTCCATCTTCTCATCCTAGAGCTAACCCTGCTGGCTGATGCTGAGCAAGCAATTCTCCTCCAGTACTTTTAGGTTCCCTCACGGCAGCAGCCTCCAACACTTATCTTGCTGAGTTTGTCACAGTCCGGTTTGTACAGTTCTTCGTGCTTTCCTGCGGCTCCAGGCTCACCTCTAAAACCAATGCTGAGGACCGGTCCTACATCTCCCTTTCCACAGTGGATTATTGTATTACCCTATTGTTATGTTTGATTAGCAAGAAATTGTAACAACTTCTAAGAGAAATAGGCATTTTAGGAGACATAAATTGATCTGCATTTGTAATATGTGGGGACATCAGAGGGCTGGATTATTATCTTAATTGACACTTGTTTGTGAATCTCTATTACATTTATGAGCAATTTGGTCATTTGACTAATCACATTAACTTCAGTGAGTCAGGACCTCCCCAGCAACATCCTTTAGTGGCCATCCTCCTTTGGCAAAAGAGCTGAAAATAAGTGATTTTTCCAAATCTGACACTTCTGGAATCTGTTTAATTGAACAGCACGTGTTAAAGTCTCTTGCAGAACCAGAGGCTGGTGTGATGGGAAGTGCTTTGATGAAAAGAGCACGACAGCGCAAACCTGAACCAGAAGAGGTTCCTGGAGCCCAGAAGGAGATAGACTCCCCTACCCAGAGGTTTGGCTGGCGCTGCAGAAAAGGAGCCTCCTGAGCACCGTATTCTGGGGCTCAGCAGTGTATTTCTGAAAAATTCAGTAAAAAAGAACATGGTCAACACTTTTGGCTGCCAATAACCCATGAGAGACTTTGTACTTCACCACCAAGAGCCACCAAAGATGGAGGCACATCAAGATTGGAGCCATTTTCCTACAGCTGTAAAAAATTTGCCTGCAGACATGAAACACCACATGGTCATGGTGGCATGATCGTGAACATCAGTACAAAACTTTAGGATGTGCAGACATCATGACTTTTGATGGAAACGTCTCAAACTGATTTTTTTTCCCTGTGCAACCGTTTGGGTATGCACTGCTGTGGGCTGTTCAGCTGGTTTTCTGCTAGGAAAAAAAAAAAAATCATAAACAGCTGAACACTTTGCTTTAAAAATATGATGCCTCTGGATTTATTTGCATCCCTTGGTTTAACTAAAAGCCTTTAACTAAAAGTAAGGATCTGTGGCATCAGGGATTTCATTTCGCTTATGTGCAGCATCCCATATAGTACACTACTCATGTTTTGGCGAGCAGTGTTTTCATAGAACTAAAGGATTCTCCACATACTCTCAGCATGGCAAGACCTTCCCAGCCCACTCTCCTTCACTTTGTTGCAATTAAATCTTAAAGTCTGGGGTTTCATTACATCCAACTTTCCCCTCTCGTCATTCCCTACCACAACTCCCCGGGGAAGGGGAGGGTGTGATCCGGTACCCAGGGCAGGTTCCAGGTGGGGCTGGTCTCCAGTCTGCTGGTCTCTGGCTCCGGCAGCTTGGGAAATCGTTGCATAGCTGAGATGCCAGGAGACTGAGTATGGAATGCAATTAGTCTCACATGAAAACAAGTGGCTCGTCTAGTCCATGCCCTAGGGACTATTTGATCAAGTAATTAGATCGTTACTTCTGGGGCTGAGAGGAACCCAAATACGGCACTATCCGCCTCTTTTCCTGTTTACTCAGGAAGGTGAGTGCTCTGTGAAGAATGATAAGTGAGCATCTGAATGCAATTAAATCTGAAAAAGAGGAACTGGCTGTGGTTGTGGGGGAAAAAAAAAAACAAAACCAAACCAAACAACTCATCCGTTTTATCTTTTGCCTTCTGCCTCTTGCAGATATTTGCTTTGATTTCATGGCATTTTAGAATGAGTATCTAGCTTTCCTTAGTTCTTTCCTACATTACTGAATAAAACTGTGTCCTGATCTCTGAGGAATACGCTTTAGAGCTCAGCACAGATTGCCCGTCAGAACAAGAACTGTGGTCCTATGACATTTGCTTATGCTGAGCAGCAATTTTCTCCCAAATTGTGATAACAGTTTCACACCTGTGGTATAAACATTCAGGTGTTCGGGGACGAAGGGTGTCTGCTTCTCTTCCTATGGCACAATCTGGTGCTGTTCACCTGGAAATGAAATGTCTGCTAATGCTCTCAGCCTTTTAAAATCTGAGTTTCTATGTTCATATGAAGGATTAAATATAATGCCATCATGCCATCAGAAGGATGTTACAGAGAAATGGTTTAAGGGAAAATCTTATCTGATTGCCATTTTTTCCACCTGCAGTTTCTTATTTCCCATAAGATTGTTCCATTTGATTTGGGAGCAGGAGCAAAGGAAATCGTTGCTTGTACAGAACATTTTAATGAGTTTTAAAGGTTTTGGAGACAAATCAGACCTGCACAGAGAGACGATTAGGAAGCCTCAATTGGTTTGGCATTTCTATTGTGTAGCATTTGCGCTTAGGTAATGCCTAGAGCCTTTGCCAACATCCAGACATGGCAGTGGCAAGAGCTGTATGACCAGTGGCGAGAGCCAGGGTCTGTCA